GCATAGCACTTAACAGGAAGCAAAACTTATTTCTACTGCTCTTGTTTTCACAGAAATGTGAAGAGAGAGACTGAAAAGGCCAAAAGCTCACTTTTAACAAAATGTTCTGAGTTACATAATGAATTGGAACATTGTGCCAATGTAATAACAAAGAAGCATGTAAAGAAGGGGGTGGCAAAAAAGGCAAAAAGCTCACAATCTTTGCTGAGCATTAGTAAATGCAGCAGGTTTTGACCTACACCAATTCAACTGTCCTCAGAAAATCTCTGTAAACCAAACAAATATTCCAGTTACCAATCATACTCCTCAAGAATGCTACTGGAAAGAAAGCCTGGATTTCTTGGCAACGGAGCTCAATAACAATTGCTAAAATAATTTTGCATTACATTTCTGGTTCTTCTGAAAGTGCCATAATGTTGCAATTGTCCATCTTGAAAGAGACCCCACAAAGCAATGTCTGCCTGATTCCTAGCATGTTTTCACTTAGCAGTGGGATCCAACAGAAGCTAGCAAGATAGCGCAATGAGTTAGGAATCTGGTAGCAGGTCCAAAGGTTGTTAGATTCCCCACTCTGTGTCTCAAGACCCAACCTACAGATCCATGGGTAAGCTGCACTGTTCCAGGGCACCCATAATAAGGGAATGGTAAACCACTTCTGAGTACTCTATACTAGAAAAACTTTAAAAGGTTGCTATAATTCAGAACTGACTTGAGGATATGTAATTATTATTAGGATCCAATGTGTTTAAAAGGATCTATTTAGAAACATTGTTGGCACACACAAAGGAGAGATGCTACTCTTGAAGGTCAATTTTATTCAGACTCTTGAAGGTCATTTTTAATTCAGATATAGCAACTGCACTTCTAAAGGTCCCATTCACTCTACAATGTTTCATCCAAATATTCTCATCTAAAGTAAACCACAACCAACAAACAATAATATCTACTATTTGGTAACTGAAGCCTCAACCATATACTAAGGAAGGCACTCTTGTTGACGTGGAATAAAGTCAAAAACCACATGTGTATTAAAATACCACAAGGAGTAACACCAATTGAAGCATTTGCTCTACCACATCTGAGAGAGAATAAGAAAATAGTAAGATATAGTGAGGTTTTAAATACTGATGGTTCTATTAAAACACAAGAGCTAGTAGACCAAGGCATTAAAATGGACTGGTGGGCACAATCACAACTAATATCAAGGTATGCTAAAGATAAGCAACAGGGATTTTATCAAGAAAATACTCCTTTCGACAGAACCCTTTTAGAATCAGAGAGAGAATGCATTAAGTTACTATATAATTTCTTGCTAGAATTTGAAACACAAGTAGAAGTAGTAAAAGCATGCATGGTCAAATGGACACTGAATGTAGGACACAATATTAAATTAAACCAATGGGAACAAATCTGGAAAATAAATATAAATATAACTAAATCTACAGTATGCAAGGAGAATATATATAAAATGTTCTACAGACGGTACATGACTCCCACAACCCTGGCTAAAATAAACAATCTTCAAATGTATGTTGGAAATGTAAACAGAAAGAAGGGACATTTTACCACATGTGGTGGATGTGTAAAGAAGCTCAAAAATACTGAACCAAAGTCAACCAAATACTGCAAGAGATATTAGAAACTCCAATATCGATGATGCCAGAATTTTTTTATTTAATATTTTGTTTAATACATTAGATTCTGAAAAAGCATTTTTAGCCATCCATATGAATAACAGCTGCAAGAATAGTATTCATGAAACACTGGAAGGAGTCTGGAATACCACAAACAGACGAACTGATAGGGAAAATACTAGAAAATGCAGAAATGGATATGCTAACAGACTGGTTGAATCCAAAAAAGAAAAAGGATCATCAGGAAACTTGGCTGCCACTATATATATGGTTGCAAAATAGATCAGCTACATAATTAATAATGGGAATTACAAAATACATGTCTGATTTTAGATATTTCTAGATAATGTATATATTTTTGTATGATAACTGGAATTACTCTTAGAAGGGATTATTTAGAATTATTATGGAAAAAATACCGATTTGTAATGTGTCCGTTCAAATCCACCCCCTCTAAATGTATCCTTATCCCAGTTATCCCTTACCCCACCTACCTCTACAAAAAGAAAAATAAACAATAGTGAAAAAAACACATTTATTGCAACTTGTAGCCTCAGCCCAAGTATGGTTTACAATGTGAAAATGAAATATGTTTAAAAAGAAGACAGGTAAAAGCATCAAAATAAATAAACAATAGTGAAAAAAAGATTTATTGCAACTTGTAGCCTCAGCCCAAGTATGGTTTACAATGCAAAAATGAAATATGTTTAAAAAGAAGAGAGGGAAAAGCACCAATCCAAGCAAACTAACATAATATCATGTTTACCTACCACCATACATCATTCCAAATAAGAATGTCTTACATCAGCTTTAGAAAACAAGGTTTAACAGACCAACATGGGAACAGACAGTGTGCAAAAAATACTGCAAATGCCAATGTCTCTCAACTATTTAAAGTTACAGAGTTAAACTGTTTATACAGTGTCTTTCATTACATTAGATTTCAGGTCACAGTAGCAACCATAGAAAACAAAATTCAACAAAAGACAGATGATATGAGAATAAGTTAAACAATCTCAAAATAAACTACGTAAAACACCCAGGACACAACTAGCATGTTTCTGTTGCATTAAATAATTTCCAGTTGTTTTATTTTCATTAAGTGTATGTATTTTTGGAACAGTGTGAAAAGATGGCAGTACTTACATAATTTGTCATAACAGCAATCTAATCATAGTCTCTGCTTTAGATGACTTAATGACCCCATCTTCCTCATATCAAGTGCTCAAGAGTTCTAATTGGTACAAAATTTGGTGGCCAGAATTTCTACTGGCAAGTATTGTCTTGCCAATATTATGCAAATTCTAAACAATCTCCAATGGTTCCATGATTTGCTTTAAAGCTTAAGTTAGGGTGTTCCTGAAAGCTGAATGAAGCTTGGTATTGACTACTTGAAACCACATATAGAGTATATACTTCTCTCTAGTGTATGATGATCTGCAAACCCCCTCTTCATTGACCTCCTCCCTCTAAGGTGAGGTTGGCATTAATGTGGTTGAGAGATTTGGGGGTTGTGAAGGGACATGGTGGTGCTGTGGGTTAAACCACAGAAGCCTCTGTGCTGCAAGGTCAGAAGACCATCAGTCATAAGATCAAATCCACACGACGCTCCTATCGCTTGTCCCAGCTCCTGCCAACCTAGCAGTTTGAAAGCATATAAATGCAAGTAGATAAATATGTAGGTACCACCACGGTGGGAAGGTAACAGCGTTCCGTGCTTAGTCACACTGGCCACGTGACCACAGAAACTGTCTACAGACAAACGTTGGCTCTACGGCTTGGAGACAGAGATGAGCACTGTGCCCTAGAGTCAGACACAACTGGACTAAATGTCAAGCAGAACCTTTACTTTTATGTCACCTATATAATGCCCTCTTCCCCAGAAGTTCTCATAGTACCAAGGCTATACTGCTTCAGGTACCAGGCAGCAGCTTTCTTTTCTTAAGTATTTTAGTGCAATCTAACATAACCCAAAGTAATGAAAAACTGAAGTCACTGAACACTAATTCTTTGAAAAATTGTCAAAATAATGTAATTAAAAACAAGAGTTATAAGTCTCATATTAAATGAGATCTCCAAGGCACTTACAATTTTTACAAGTGTGCTAATAAAAGTGTAATTGGTATTTGGGTAACAAAAGTCACCCTCAGTAAAGAAGTCTGCTTTCTAGCAATAATAGTAGTGCTAAGTGTGTTTTCCTAAAAAAAACAAAAAAGCCAACAAAAATGCTTATGTTAACTTGGACAGAGATTCCTAACATAGCTTGAATGCATCTCTGCAAACTGAATATGCACAGCTCATTATAAACAGGCTCTGCTCTTGGCACTTTTTTACCTGTATAACAAAATTTACTTTCTGATTTTGGACAAACTGACTTGTCCTCTGTATGAGAATTGTTAGTTTAATGTTAGCACTATTCAAAAAGGACCAAAATATCTATCTGTGCAAAACGGTTTTATTAAAGCATAACCTACATTATGGAAATAAAGTCCCCTAACATAAGCATTTTGAATGGGGGCTGCTTCTACTAAATAAACACTAACAACAAATGCAAAAACAATAAACAATCTACAGTATTAATCTTTCAGAACACACACTCAGCAGCAGGAAAAGGCGGAAGTTTCAGTTCCAGCACAATTCTCCCAGAGTCCTATCAAACAGAATAAGCCTAATTCCACTGCAAAATATTCAGTGTTGCCAGAACCAAAACCTTCCCCTACTCTTGAGTTTTCTGGACTAGGGCCAAGATACTCAGCTAGGATGAAAGTGCCAGGCAGCAGTCTCCTGTTGAAAACCAATACCATTTCCAAGTGGACACGAGTTACCTTCCAGACTTAAGCCTGTCACCTGTCTGTCCCAGGCACCGAAGGGGAAGGCCAGATTGTTTTAAACCCACCCTCTCTCTTGCTTATCTTGTGTGCAGCGCACCCCGCGTTCCTTTTTCAGTCCATTCAACTCTCCTCCTCCTCCCTCGCAATCGCCATCCTTTAGCCTGGCCACCCACATGCTCACCAAGAGCGACCATCCAAACTCGTCTTCTGGGCGAAGCGGCAACCAGCAACCCTGCCTGCTGGCTTTCATCAAGGAAAGGAGCCCGAGGAACACGAGAGGAGGCAGGCCAGAAACCCTCCGGAACGACAGGTCAGGCTCCTCAACGAGGAACACCCCCCCCGGCTCCCCACGATTTCCTGTTCTCTCTCCGACAGGGGCACCTGCACCAAAGCCATCCCTTGGACAGCCTCAGGACGCTTCCCCGACTGAGGATCACTCAACCATTTGAACCGAGAAGCGTCCGGCCAAAGCTGCTCCGCTTTTCCCCCCAACCAGCCCGGCCTTACCTTCCGCTCCCAGCACTCATTCACTCACCAAACGTCCTCCCCGAACGAAGCCCAGACTACAGAAGCGACCTCCCGCCGAACGCAGCCCCACCCCGAAGAGCAGGAGACCGACATTTACCAAGAGAAACTTCCCCCTGCCTGCCCGCCCGGGGGGCGCTGCTGCTGGGTACCCCCAGGCCGGCTTCAAGACTTCCCTCACCCGCTCCCTACGGTTCGAATCAACAACAAGATGGCGGCGCCGGGAAGGTGGGCATTCTGCCGTCATAGCAACGGTATTGTTCCAGGTCCGCCTCCTAGGGACATAAGCCAATCGCGTGCCTATGCAATCCCGGTTTTCTATTGAGTTTCATTTTTACTGGACAGCACGCTTGTCAGTCCACAATATTCTCTGGCAGGAACCCCGCCTTTAGTTTTCCAACGCACGCTGCGCAAACGTGACGCAACCAACCTGTTGTGGGGGCGATTGCCTATTGGATAACAAGACACGGCCGAGCAACCAATCATAGAAGCCTTTCACTGCTAATCTCTACCTCCACCTTGAGGCTATTCTTGAAAGATCTGACCTCTGGTCTTTCCGAGGAAAGTGGTCATTAGATTATCTTTCCATATCTTTCCTTCTAACCCCTGTTCCTAAGATCACCGTCATCCCATCTTTATCTCTTAAGTGGCATTCTGGCGGTTCTACAGAAGCTCTGATTCTTATCATGGTTTATCCAGCCAGCCCTCTGACCTTGCCAGAAAGAGTGCCTCGAGTTTGTAAACAAGATTTTCCTTTTCTTGAATCCTCTCCTTGCTCTGTTATTTTTGTTGTTTAGTCGTTAAGTCATGTCCAACTCTTTGTGACCCCATGGACCAGAGCACACCAGGCGCTCCTGTCTTCCACTGCCTCCCAGAGTTTGGTCAAACTCATATTGGTAGCTTCGATGACACTGTCCAACCAAGTGTCCTTGCTCCTTGATCTATACCTTCACAAATCATACACATCTCTCTTTGAAAAGGGGCGGGAATCCTGGGCAATTAATTTTTAGAACATTATTTGTTTGGCTCTGTTCTTGTTCTATAAATTGTTCTTCTACAAAATTCGCATTCAAGCTTCCATTAATTTAGTCAGGAGGCAGATAACCTTCAGAAGCAGAGCCTGTTGTTTCTTCATAGAAGTTACATACATTCCACTTCTGCTTCTCATAAAAGGTTCTGTAAATGTTTTTTTAACTTGAAAAACCTGCAAGCTCAGTTTGATTTAGAATTAAGGAAGGGTCTTTCGGTCTGTCAATGGACCTATCAATGGGAAACATTTGCTCAAAACCCTTTCAGCACCATTACAATTTTCTTGTCAAAGGAAAGTTCAGTCTCTTTACCCAATTATTCCAAATCATAATTCATATGTTCATCCTCTAGTTACCGATGCGTCGAAACCTAGATAAGCTTCAGTAAAATGTTATTCTGTAAAATATGAAACCCCCTTTTGTCAGCAAAGTTGAGAGCAAACCCATCAGCAGGCCAGACTCCCTTATGAGGTTAGACTCGTAGCAGGGTCACCCAAGAAAGAATGATCACAGCTGAGGCACCAGATTGTGAGGATCCCACCTTCTTCAGCACTAATGTCCTCATCAATAGAAGAGAATGGATCATTCCAATGCTAATGGGGTGGAGAACATTCTGGAGGGTGGCTACTGGGCAGCAGTTGTAGCTGAAGGCCACACTGGTGGAGGATCTTTCACAGACAATGGCAGTGAAACAAGCTAGCTTTTGTTAGTACTGTGCAGAAATAGGCAATGGTAAACCACTGCTGAGCCTTTCTTACCTTGAAAACCAAATGGTCAATATAGAAATCAAATAGACTACATCACTGGAAGCAGGAAATGGAGAAACTGTATCCTCTCTGCCAAAACAAGACCAGGAGCAGATTGTGGTGCTGATCATGAATTGTTAATATATGACATTAGAGTAAATCTGAAGAAGAGCACTAAAAGAACCTTAATGGCAAAATATAATTGAAACAACATATCTGGTGAAATTTAAGTCTACATAAAGACCATATTTGCATTACTAAATTCAATTGACCATGAACTTGAAGAGCTGTGGATTGAAGCAAGATATATTATTAGGAAAGAATGCAAAAAGACAATTCCTGTAGTAAAAAGGAAAGAAAACCTAGATGGATGACCAAAAAACAAAACAAAACACTTAAAAGGGCTAAGAAGAAGCAAGAAGCAAAAGTAAAAAGTGATAAAATCTTGAATTCAGTTTTTCAGCGACTGTCACATAGAGACAGAGAACTACTATAATGGCCAGTGCAAAGAAATAGAAGAGGACAGCAAAAGAGGGAAAACAAGAGATCACTTCCAGTTCTTGGAAATCAAAGGGAAATTTAAGCCTAGATTAGGAATGCTGAAAGACCAACAGGGAAGCACACTATCTGATTGGGATAAAATAAAAGGTGGAGGAAACAATATACTGAAGAAGAGATAAGAGGATGACAAGAGTCCTTTGAAGAGGAATCTAATGGTGAAGAACCTGCCATTCTAGAAACTGAACTGAAAGGTGCTCTGAAAGCACAAGGAAAAAATAAATCACCAAGGGTGGATAAAATACCAAAAGAACTATTTCAAGCCACAGAGACTGAATCTGTCAAAATCCAACCAGTATATGCCAACAAAGACCAAAATCAAAGGCCCACAGACTGGAAATGTACATTCCAGTCCCTAAAAAAGATCCCAAGGAGTGTAGTAACTATAGGACCATTGCTGTAATTGCTCCCCACTGGTCTTTCAGCATTCCTAATCTAGACTTAAATTTCCCTTTGATTTCTTCAATTAAATTAAAGGAGAAATGGGGAGGCTTCGAACATGGCAGATTCTATTGTACTACTCTTGTGTGAGGGGAAGGTAAATGTTTCCTCCTGCATGCCTAATAGAAAAACAAAGGGACTTTTTGAAATTAACTGGAATGAAAAGTCATTCTTCAGACTCATTCTGGGGTAGCCAAAAACTATAACTCCTGTTCAGATAAATTCCTTCCCCCTCACCTTAGCCAAAAAGACCTGAAACTGCCAGTGGAAGAGGAGGGGGAAATACACAAATGAGGCATTGTGGAGCTGTATTGATGCAATAGGGCTGACAATACAATAAAATGTTCGTAGTTATTTAACTTTGCATCTAACAAATGGTGACACCTCATTCATGCTGCAAATAGTTCAATTGTGGGTACAATGTGAGTTTATCAATCTTTCCAGCTAGATGTTCCACCAGAGGGCACTTATGCATCAAAGTTTTTTTTCTGACCATCACAGAAAGTGTTGCTACTGGAAAAGATGGTTTTATAGTAAAATGCATCATCAAAATTCAGGAACCATTAGAATGTTTACACTAAGATGATGTTGTCAGTGTGAAATCTATCGATTTAGAATGGGGGGGCGAAGAAATATGTTTACTTAGATGTTAATCAGCAAAACACAGTATTGACTGGCTCCATGTTTTGGGGAGGAGCCCACTTCCAAGATGCTGTCATTGCTCCTCCAAGTGGACCTACCTCCACCTCACTGTTGTCACTGTTGCTCATCAGCTTGCCAATGAACAAAACTGTGAAGATGGGGAAGTGGATGCCAAGTGCAGGATGGAGCGCTATTCCTTCACTCTTGTCACTCTCTGCATGTTCAGACAAGAGCAGGAAACAGGCAACTCTGAGGGTGGCCAGTGAGCCTGCTACAGCAGTGGTCCCCAACCTTTTCGAGACTGCGGACCAGTTGGGGGGTGTGGGCTCCATGCGTGAGGGGGGCAGGGCCCCCCGTGCTCACGGCGGGTGTGTCATGCTTGCGGGTGGACATGTCATGCTCACGGAGGGACTGTCATGCTCATGGGTGGGCGTGTTGCACTTGCAGAGGGGCATGTGGTTCACCCGCGAATGCAACACACCCACCCTCAAGCATGACATGCCCCTCTGCAAGTGCGATATGTCCAGTTCTGGCAAGCCCATGGACCAGCACTAGGCCATGGACCAGGGGTTGGGGACCCCTGTGGTACAGGAATCTAGATCTTGGCAGATGCCTGGTAACAGTGAACCCCTACATTGTTACTAGCCAGGTGTGTTGCATTTAGGCTGAGTGCCCTAGAGGTTCATCCAGTCAGTCAATCTCTTGTGAACCAGAGACTCAGTGCAGAAGCAAGACCCTTCTCCAAATATGGATATTTATGTAACCAAAATGGCACCCTTCTTATTAATGTGTTCTTTTAACACCCAAGATTGGCAGACTTTTAAAAAAATTATAAAGCTCTGTTGTTGGGTGGGGGGAGGGAACTTAGCATGCTCAGTGGGCACAGAATATTGGCTGACTGCTGGCAGCAGTGATGATAGAATATTCTGTTAGAATATATAATTATGCAACCCTGTATATGTACATATATGTATATGTAAGAGTGAATGAACTGCATTATTTTTGTAGGAGAATAAGTGTAACCAATCAGATTTTTTTCTAGTGTCAGCTACTAGATTCTTAGAGTGTTAACTGCCAGATATAAGAAAAACCGTCAGTTAGCATTTTCTGTTGATATGTCAGTGCTCAATTAGGACTGTTTGCTGCTAGATGTTTGCTGTTAGCATGTTGCCAAAGATGATGTTAGGACTGTCTGATAATTGTGTTATGAAACTGTCAAGCACAAACCAAATCTGTACCAAGTCAAATGTTCTATTACTGTTACGTTATTATTCAACATATTTTAAAGTAAATGTTCTTAAAGTTTACTGTGACTGAATATTTTATCTGCTGACACGCAAGCATACAGTTTGTATCAAGGGAGAATATTTTTCATAATCTGTATGGGTTTTTATATACAGTATATTCATACTTAATCTGCTGTGTGTAAACTGATCGAGAACAGATCCTGTCCCTCCTCTCTATGACTACCTTTCAAGTATTTGAAAAGTGCTGTCATATCTCCCCTTGCCCCTCTTTTGTCAAGGCTATACATGCCCAGTTCTTTCAGTCTTTCCCCATAGGGCTTGACTTCCAGTCCACTGATCATCCTTGTTGCCTTTCTCTGAAGTACATAATGTCTTTTGGGGAGGGGGCAGTACCACTAATCTCAGTGTTGTTGAAGGGAGAAGTGTAATTTATATGGTTGAGGGGAAAGCATGGCGCACAAAGTCAAAGGCACTTCCTTTATTATGCATTTCCTGTAACTGGGAACAGGTTTAGAAACAATGTGCACTGCATATGTTTCAGAACATGCCATGAATGCTACAGAACAAGTATCGCAACCATGCCATGTCAGTACTTTACTTCTGAGAGTTTATACATCTGATCAAGTGTGCAAACATTCAGAAGTAAATTAGGCACTAGTTGATGCTATGTTAACTCACAACAAACCTAGATGAATTTTAAAAGCAATAACAAAAATTTAGTACAAAAGTTGCCATCATCTCTGAACATCACAAACTAAAAGGGAGAAATGCAAATGCAATATTTAATTGAAAGAGGCTGGACATTACTTAACGTATCATATAACTGAATAAATGTATAGGCAGAGCCTTTAGCGCAGACTTTTTGGCAAACTTGGCTCATACAGCCAAGGGTCAGATGAAAGGTATTGCCTGTTGACACATAACTAAATAACAAATTTAGATATTTTTTAAAAATAGAAAATGAACAAATCTTTAGAAATTTCTTCTTTGAGGTGGCATCTTATTTTTCAATATAATTCTCCCTATTGCAATACACTTGTCTCAATGTAAGAACAGTTTCTTCACTCTGTTCACTAGGAAACTGGGCTCTGTTGCCATACATGGCCTCTACGAATCAATATATTTCAGTAGGAATGATCACTCCTCCCCTGTGGTTGAAAATTCAATAACAGGATGCTGTTCACCTCACATTAGCACATCTTCTGAGGTACCACTCACTGTAATGGCTATCAATTGAATTTGCATTATATTAAGCCATAGTGTTGTTGAATATGATCAAGGCAGACTGGGAAGTGTGTACAATAACACACCACCATGTGGTGCCAACTACCTTTCAGCTACTCTGTTTGACAATCAAACAACCAATGTTTTCACCCAGCCCTCATATATGTAGAAGCTAAGACAATGCCACGCAGCAAAATGCCAGCCTGCTTCACTGTGTATTGAGGAAAGGAAGAAGTGCCAACCTGGCAAACCCTTAACTTGCAAAATTCTGCAATAACCTCTTGAAGGAAAGAGACTGGCAAATAAGAAAGACAATAAACTGACTTCTTTGCAATTTATCAAATTGGCATTGGCAAAATGTGTTAGCAGAATCTCCCAGGACACTGACCAAACTGGTGGTGGTGGTGTTTTCTGGAATTTATCATTCAGCATCCTGGCCTATGCTCTGAAATGCAAACTGAGCTTCCCAGAGAACACACACAAATACAGATATAAATAATTAGGAGCAACTGTTTGGAGTAGTTACTCTCAAGAGAAACAGCAGGAACTGATTATATGAAAGTTATATATTGGTGGTAAGCAGAACGTCTGCTCTTTCTCTCCTGTCGCCATTCTATTTGTGAACATCTCTGCTGAGGTCCTTAGGATGGAACGGCCCATCCTCACACCCAGCGCCGTGCTCCACTGCTGCTGTCAAACAAGTAATCTTGTCCTGTGACTAGAGACATATAGAAAGTGCAGTGGTCATGTCTATTTAAGCTAATTTTCCTCCCTACCTGTGTTAGGGTGCACACTTCTACTATCAGGTAGATCTGGCCCATCTTACAAGCACTGAGATTATACAGTGTGCCTGTCTGAAATATATCTCTAGAAAGAATATTATTGGGTGGGTAGGCAGTGATCTCAGAGTTGCTGTGAAATTCAATTACAAACATGGACATACATGCAGTCCAGCTGTCACATCTCACAGAGCAGGGGATTTCTGAAAGCACAACCTGCGATCCATGCCATGGATTCATTTCATTGGAAACCTCTAGAGCCAGACCTCTTGGCCAGAAGCCCTTGCATGACAGTGTCATCAGTGATTTGTGGTCTTGGGGGGGGGATTCCTCTTCCCTCTGTGCAGGAGAGCCATTTGCCTGCTGGCTGTTGCTTACTATGATGAAGTGACATCACAAATATATCTCACAGCCTCCATCTAATGACTTGATCCCTGACTCAAAGATGCAAGAGAGTTAATTTAACAGGGAAGAGAAAGTTGTGCTTCATTTGTGCATGTCGTATTGATTGACTGGTTAACTGGTTAACAGAATTACTAAATCTGTCTCCTTGCCATTTGAGGTGTCTTTTAAACAATGATAAAGCAAACTGGCGACTGAACGTACCTGGGTCTTGAGCCCGGCCATCAAACTGGTGGTGCTATAAGACAAGAAGCAGGAAAAGAGATGGCGTCACATAATTATTGCCTTATTACTTATTATTACTCCCTCGTGTGAGCCGAAAGCAAGGAGTAACATGGCAAGGAAAAAAAATCTGCTTAAGTTTGAATGATAGGGCTGGCTACTGCAGGAATGGGCAACCTCCAGAGGCTTGGGGCCTGAAGAAGACCATGTGCAGACCTTGGAGTGCTACCCTTGCTCCTGCATACTACTCCCTTCACACAAGCGCCTCCGTCTCATTTTTGAAATTGTAATATATATATATATTGCAGTTTCTGTTGGCCATGTGGGCAGCAGAAGGTGCAATATATTACAGTTTCAAAAATGAGATTGAGGAACCTGGGGAGCATATAACAGGGGAACATTGACCTGAATGCCCCCAAGGGGATTTTAAAAGTCATATTTCCCCTAAAACAATGTAAAAAAAAATAAGGTGTGGGGAGCCCTTATTGAACCTAAGGGTGCCAACGTAACACTTCACAGAACTGAATAAATGTATAAACAGAACCTTTAGCATAGACATTTTGGTAAACTTGGTTTATATGGGCATATTGAACCTAAGGGTGCTTGAGCTCTCCCTTTGGGCCCACACTCCATGCTGCTAGATGATTCTCCAAGTTAATAGTGTGAGTGCTGGACTACAACTCAGAAGTCCTGGATTCAACTCTCCAGTAGGCCATGAATCTCACTGGTAAATCTTGGTTCAGTCATCATCTCTCAGCTTGACCTACCTCAGTGTTATTTTGAGTAGAAAGCGGGAGGCGGAAGACCAGGTATAGGACCTTAATCTCACTGGAGGAAAGGGAGGATATAAATACAGTGAATGTGAATTAAATGACAATGTGTTCCAGAAAGTAGGTATCTGCCAGCAAAAGGCATCCCAGGACAGGCAGAGTGTGGAACAGTTACTTTTTAAAGACCAGAACTCCCATAATTCCTGAGTCCTCGTGGCTACTGGATGCTTTGGCTGGAGGATTCTAGAAGTTGTTGTCCAAAAGATGTAACCTTTTCTAAGCACTGGTGAAAGGAAAGCAGGAAGGACTATTTGCTATTCCTATTTTGCTGAGGAAGCCATCCATAAATTACTACATTCCCATGGGTATACTATGGACCACCAGAAATAAATAGGTTCTAGATCAAATCAAGCCTGAAATTTCACTAGAAATGGTAATGGCTATACTGACATTCTGCTTTGGGCACATCACACACACACAAAAACTCACTGGAAAGAGGAAAAGAAAACAACAATGCTGGGGTAAATTGAAGGCAACGGGAAAAGAGGAAGACCTAAAATGAGACAGATTGTCTCAATTTTTGAAAAGGGAAGAACTAAAATGAGACAGATTGTCTCAATTTTTAAAAAGACATAGTTTTGGGTTAGAAAGACCTGAGAGGACTGATAATGACAGGACCATTTGAAGGTTACTAGTTCATGGGTTCCTCTTAAGTCAGAAGCAAACTACTGTAATGGTACAGAACAACAAGACCCTATGTGCATAGGTGCAAAAACACCACAAAACCGATAGTCCTCCACTGCTGGTAATGTATAGTAGGACTCTACACACAGTCTAATTGGAAACTCAAAATGGGACCATGCCGTACCAGACTTAGCATCTCGGTGGAGCCTTTATCTTTCTCCTTACTTGGCTCTTCTGCCATGATGTAATTTTTCCCCAGTCCTTTCTCCCTATGGAATAAGAGGCATTGATCAAAAAGTGTCATCTCTTAGCATCCTGATGAACATTGGCCAGGGCCAACAACAGATGGAACAATAGCCTGGATGTTTTATATTTTAATAACAAACACTAGCATTCCATCTCATGACAAGGAGGGCTGGGGTGTGATTACAAGATTTACCTCTCCCAAATCTGCATAATTAAGTTGGTTAGAAGCATCTGTAATAAAGGCAGACTGCTGACAGCCATGATGCAACGTATACATTGCTCTCAGCTTCTTCAGAAGCACTGTACTGGCCAGAATATTTTTGAACAAAGGAAATTGTATAGGTCATCTCTTCTATGCACTGACATCGAATGGGTCCTGCTTAGTAGTATGTGGTCCATGGCTGTCATAAGGGATAACCTGCACATGGAGAACCTTTGGCTTTTCAGGTGTTTTGACTTACAACTCCCATCAGCCTTATCTATATAAGAATTGTGGGAGTTGTAACCCAAAACATCTGGAGAACCAAAAGATTATCCATACATGTGTTGCACATCTCCTAAGCTGAACTGCTCCTTAGCTCATGTTTCAGCTTCTGAATCTTTGTCTGATAAATCAGTTCTTTCCAAGAAATATAATGGGAATGAACATTTTCCTACAATGCATTAGACTGTGTGCAATGGACAGGGCACTTACTGGTCTTGCAGGAGTGGCTGAGACATATCTCCTTGTGCCTTCCTGAAATCCAAACAACAGTAGAATGAGTTTTGAAACGAGAGCACACCTCATTCCTGGTCTGATCGCAGTGAAGTTCCGTGGTTGTATGAAACAAGTATATAACCCAATGCAAAACAGCGGTTGATATGGAAGAAGGAACACATAAATAGGTTGTGCTGGAAACTCACCACCAGCAGAGGCGCCAGAGCAACAAACCCAAGGCAGTCAAGAGGAGAATTCCAGTAAGTGTAAGAACCACCACAAACCAAGGATCTGGTGCCCAAAACTCCACAGTCCTATGCAAAACGATGGGTTCCTTGGGCACAGTCTGAAATCAGAACAAGGAAAATCTATTAAACTGAACTATACAGTCAGAGAGCTTGGAAGTCACTAGGTATAATGATATAACTTATCTGTGCCAAGTTACTTTTTTGGTAACAAGTAACAAAATGAGTTACAAATTTACTACAGAAGTAATAAAACAAGTAGTTACAAAGTTGATTTCTAAGTGGAACAAAGAACAGATCCTAATTTTTTCAAAAGTTAATATCCAATAACATTTTAAAGGCATTTTTTCAGGATGTTTCATATTATATGGCTTAATCTTATCAGTCTAGGTGGCAAGGGAAGAGATCCAGTATGGTGCAGTGGTTCAAGTGTTGAACTAAGGAGACCCAGGTTCAAATCCCCATTTGGCACAAAAATTACAGGGTTATCTTGGGCCAATCATCTTCTCACAGTATTTTTCCATGTATAAGATGCCATTTTTTCCTAAAATCATTACACTAAAAATTGAGGGGTGTCTTATACACGGAAGTAAGCTGAGGAGAGAACAAAACTGCCTGTACCTTGCCTCTGTAAATAAGCTTCCTTCAATCACAAGGCTTAGCTTCCTACAGTCAGGAGACTTAGCTTCCTCCAATTACAAGCCTTATGGAACTGACGTCAGCTGATGCTGAACAAACCAATTGGAACACACCTCGTTGGAGGTGGAGCCTGTAGGCTCAGATGCAACAGGGACTTGTAATCTCCAAGCATTCTAAGTCCAGAGGCTGAATACTCAATTTGTTAATTTTGGGTTAGAAAAGTGTGTGGGGGGGATCCTTATACATGGGGGTATCTTATACATGGAAAAATATGGTAAATGTGAACTTGCATTCTCTTACTGTGAAGTCACACCAGGACATTCAGTTCTCTTTGACGTAAATGGCCATACAGGCAGAAGAGCAAACAACAACAACCAACAACCGTCTAATTGCAGTTCCAGGTGGTGCAGTTCAAAGGAACTGCTTCAAGAAGGCTTTACATCCTCAGTGACTATTTCCTCATCTTGTCCACCAGATAGCACATGCTCTCCTGGTCCTCTCTCATGTGGCAGGAGGCAAAGGGGAAGGTGTTTGTCTGGTCTTTCTTTTCCACATTGTAGAAAGCAAAAGGATTTAACTTTTCAAAAGTGGAAGGGTCTCTGGTGGAGAGGAAAAACAGTGGGTTGGGGACATGGGACTCTGGGTTGATTCTTTTTTTTCTGTGCCAAGGTGATCTAGCATTAAACTAGTGTGTCAATACAATGACTCATCCTCATCCACAATCATCCTTGTTTATTCAATTTAAAAAACATGCTTAGACACTCAGGGAACAAATTGTGGGGACAGGTGTTCCTGCAGTCCCTAAATATCATGCTCCAACTGGCTATGTCACCAGAATACTACCCACAGACATGCCACTCATCCCTGTAATTTTACAGAATGAAACAACTGCTCACATGGGGAAAAGTCCTTTCAAATTGTTCCAGCTTGAAAAAAGTAGAAGACCCCAATGGCAAAGAAAAAAAATATGTGTTGGAAGCAAAAAAAAGGGGGGGCTGGACTAATTCGAATTGGTCTTTGCATCTTGTGATCAGTTTAAACAAATCAAATTCATCTGCCTCACTCTGACCTACTTCACAGCATTTTTGTAGGAATAAAGGAGGGGGGCATGCAGCCAATGGGCGACATGCATGCCTCATGGGAACTGCTGTAGCCTCAAAGACAGCCTGAAAGCCCCCACTAAGTTTTTTAAAACTTTTTTTTTCATAAGAAAGGCCTTGGCAGATTTTGCATTCAGGGCGCGGTGGTGGTCAATTGAACCCCTATCACAAAACTCCACAGTGAAACCTGAGGTGCCAGATGAAGCTTTCCTTCCATTATATCCAAGCTCTAGAACAAAGACACTCTTAAAATGGTGCCTCTACTTCTCGGCAGTCTCTGACAAGGCAGAAGACGTCCACGTTGTCAGAAACTACTGAGAGATCCAGAGATCGGTAATAAGACCACACACCCTTACTGCCACTCATCAACCAAAATAACATTTGGCAAGTAACAACATAAGGGAGCAAAATCACCTCACGTAGAAGACACATTACCCTACTAGCCCAGAACTGCTAGAGAGAGGGTTGTGGCTATCAGAGACATATGAGAAGCATGAAAATGTCAGTTACTTGGTTTAACCAATGGATTCTTAATGCCTGCATCTGCACCCTCACCGTAGTAGTGGTGGCAGTAGTCGGCACTGTGGTGGTCCAGGGGGTCACATAAACAATTACGGTGGCCGTGGTGCTGAAGTGACCATCTGTCACTTGGACAAGAAGTTCAAAAATGAGGGGGTCAAAAATACCATCCCGGTTATAGGAGAAGGTGTTTGGGAAAAGCCTGTCACCCTCCATGCGAAAGCGTCCATTTGTGTTGCCTGGAGGGGGAGAAAAAGAGGCAAAAACATGGGTGCAGGGGCAGAGAAGGCACATCTGCAATGCATCCTGGGTCACCCTTATACCAGTTTAACTTGCCATTGCTTCCTTCAAAGAATCCTGGTGATATTTCTGTTCGAGATCTCCAGCCTGTTTCACCTGAGTACTATTCTCAGGGTTTCCTAGGGAGAAGCAATGGCTACCACACCATTGTAGTTGTGTGAAGGAGCTGTGGTTGGAGCATGACATCACATTCACAACCCACAACTGTCTCTTCCTGCTCTCTGATGAGCATTCTCATAGTCTCTGTTGTTTCTATTATTTTATTGCTGATTTGAAACTCCAGTGTTACCATCCGGCTGAGCTTCCTCTCCACGCAGGCACAAAAACTATTTAGGCCTGAGTGGAGTCTGAAGCCATGCTTTCTTGGTCCATCTCAGACCTCCAGCAACAACAACACTGAAGCTCCTGTCCTCAGTATTCCCAAGTTCAGATCAGCCCCCTGGCACCCTCCTGCATCCATTCCATACCACGAACAATGCTGTAGCTCAATTCGCTTCGCTCATCCTTATCTGTGCAATGCAGCTGAGTGATGCTCATAGTCCTGGCCTGTATGGAAAGGATGGAAAAGTCCCCAAATGGTGGCTCGCACACAGGGGGGTTGTCATTCACATCCTGGGGAATAAGAAAAGAGGTCACGTTTCCCAACACATTGGCACTACAGGTCTTTGGCAGTTCCTTAGCCTCAAACTCCCTCCTTCTGTTTGCATTTCTCATGGATGCTTCTAAAACCAAGATTCCACACAGGGACTCCACCAGCCACTGGGCTTCTCGTCTTGTTCCGAGTGGCAAATAAGACATTATAACCCCTGTAAGCATTTGCAGCATTCTGTCTGAACTACACAAGAGCCAAACAATGACAGGGTGTAATTGTTTGCAGAGCTTGCCTTCGCCAGAGTGGTAGGAGATTTCACTTCCTGCCATTGGTGATTTTATGAGGTAACTCTTGTGATGCCATCTTCAAACTACCAAAGGAAGGGCATAATGTGAATACAGCAGCTTCAGGTGTTTTAACTTAAGTAGCTTTTCACTGGCAGGTGTAAAGCAAGCTGTCCTAAGTTGAACCCTGCTCTGCTACTGAGGTCAATGTTAGAAGAGACATTTGCTCTTAGTTTGTCAAAAGAAGCCACTCTCAAACCCTTCTTCTGACTCACTCCATGTCATCCCATCCATCTTCTGCCAGGTGCACGTAAGCAATGACGTCCAGCTGAGTTTGCCGCAGATTATGGATGGCCTTCACCTTTTACCACAGAGTACACTTGGAGCTATCTTGCTTGACTGACCTTCCACATTTCATGAGAGGGTTGGAAGTCATAAAACTGAGTTTTGGGTGTTAGTGAGGGACTAGATGAGTATCTCTGGTAATAAAGGTGGGAGGATGGAAAGGGAATTATCATAAGTTGGGGCTTTACTTTAGTCCCATAATAAACAACACACAATCACACATGAAATCTCACTTTTGGGTTAACAGTAAGTAGCCTTTGTACATCCCATTCCTGCACACTATGGTCCTTATCCTGATCAGAACTCGGTAGCTAAGTATAATTTTGAAACATACATGGAACATGAAACCATTTGCTTAAAGTTATGTGTACTTTGGCCAGTTTACTGAGAGCATCTATATTCCTTCACTACTCGTTTCTCCATCTTATAGGTAAAATACAATTTAGGTTGTACTATTATTAGAATAATGAGAAACAGAATCCTCTAAGATCAACACTGCTTTAGTCTGCCTTTAAGGATCACGTGACATGCAAAATTTCAACAGGTATTGTTTTTGCTGTACAGGTAGCTGCATGTGTGGACATCATGAGATAGACAATATAGAATTCAAATAGCCTGAATGGATGCAGAAGATGGAGAAGATCTATTCTCTACAAAAACAAGGCCTAATAAAGACCAGAAACTGTTAACATAAAAATTAGAGTGAAGGCGAAGAACACTGAAACCATGCCAGTGCCACAATATAATTTACATAGTATTTATAACAAATTTAAAGTTCATATAAAGCACAGACTTGCATTACTAAATTCAACTGACTGTGAACAGAAAAACTGTGGAATAAAACCAGAGAAATTGTCAGGCAAGAATGAAAAAGTACTATGCATGTAGTCAATAAGTACATAAATAAAAGCTTTGATGGATGATTGATGAAATTCTTAAAAGGTTTAATGACAGTCAAGAAGCAAAAGTAGAGGGTGACAGTAATAGGATCATAATCCTAAATGCAACTTTGCTTTGACCTGCACATAGGGGCAATCAGAACTGTTTACAAATCATTGTTTTTAAAAAAAGAACAGACTACAATTACAATGTAAAGAAAGAAAAAGAAAAATGAAGATTAAACATGCTGCAAAACCAATATAATATAATATAATATCTGTTCAGGACAAAATAAAGAGAAGAGAATAAAGAGAAGATGGAATCATTAGACTGAAGAGCTGCACAAAAGAAATCCAGTGACAAAGTATCTGCAGCTTTAGAAAGAGAAACTACAATGAATCAATTGGAAGAAATAAATAATCAGGAGTAGTCTGGATGCCAACAGAACTCTTCCAGGCTATGAAGATTAAATTGTAAAAATCCTAACAAGAGTGTATAACAATATGTTTTAAAGATTTTATTAAGTTTCCAAAGGGGAAAGGGGTTCATGGGGGAGCAAACCAGCTTTACAGTTTTTCCAAAGTAATGATGTTACTGTGCGAGGTAAGTGTTAGGACGAAGAAAAAGAACATTCATACTATGGTATTCCCAATTATGTATGAATGAGAAAGCTGGAAAATGAAAAAAGCTGACCAGGAAAAGAGTGCCAGGGAGAGAAACAAATATGTTCCAAATCAAATCAAGCCTGAAGTCTCACGACAAGTTCAAATGACTAAACAGAATGATCACCTTATACTTTGGACACATTGTGAAAAGACAAGATTCACTGGAGGGGAAGAGGAAGGAAGAAAGTAAAGGAGACCAAACATGAGGTAGATTAAGTCAATACAAGAAGTTGCAATCTTTAGTTTGCAAGACTTCAGCAGGACTGTTAATGATATGACACTTGAGAAATTCTCAATTAATATGATTTCCCTAGGAAGCTGGGCTGAGGGTGAAGGCCAGGTATGTTTGCTGAGGTTTTTTTTTCTGGGCTTTCTTTTTGTCTCCTCACCACATGGCCTGGGGGTGGGGCCTAGGGGGTGGGACTCTCTGCTTTAAAAGAACGTGTCCCAGGACCCTGGACCCTTTTTCCTAGGAAGCTGGGTGAGGGTGAAGGTCAGGTATATTTGCTGAGGTTTTTCTTCTGGGCCTTTCTTTTTGTCTCCTCACCACATGGCCTGGGGGTGGGGCCTAGG